CAGAAGTCTGGACTGATTACAGTCTGCGACAGCAGTAATTAGAGCATAGTGCAACAGTGTGGTGCTCGTGGTTTCAGCTCTGTTACGGGTTCTTAGGACAGAGTTTACAGTGCAGCAAGTTCCGTAAGTCTGAAACAGTTCTCTGTATATTGTGTTTACAGTTTTTGATCTTTGCAAGTAGGAGAAGATGTCTTCTATATTCGGGGAAGTGTCTTCTAGAGATGTTAGGACTAGTGGGAGGTCCCCTAATCTGGAGAATCCAAATCTGCATAGCCTGCAGATTACTAATGTGTTGTTGGATGAGTATAACTTCAGTGAATGGTCTGTTTCAGCCATGCTCTTCATCACATCCCCGGAACTCACTAGTTATTTGGACGGGCAGAAGAAGGAACCTGAAGTGGGTAGTATTGTTTATGTAGTTTGGCGTAAGGAGAATGCTACAGTTATGTCCTGGCTACTTGCTTCAATGACTCCAAGGGTAGCTAGGACTGTTCAACATTTCTCCACTGCTGCCAAGATATGGGAGAAGGTGTCTAAAACTTATGGGCAGAGAAAAAATAATGCCAGAATTTATAGATTGAATGAAGACATTGCTCCTTGAGGCAAGGGGATATGACTGTTGCAACATATTTTGCTACCTTAGAAGGACTATGGGAAGAGCTAGATCATCACCTCATTCTTGATTGGGAGAATGCCAGATACAAGGAAAGGCATGACAAACAAATTGAAGAGGGCAGAGCATTTAAATTTTTGGCTGGCCTAGATCCAATATATGAGAGCATAAGGTCCCAAATTTTGGGAAGGGATGAAATGCCAGACTTACATCATGTCTACTACCTCGTGAGGAATGAAGAGGTTAGAAGAAAAGAGATGCAAGTTGATACTCAAACTAAACCAGCTGAACAGTCTGTGGAACATTCGGCCCTAATTTCTACAAATCAAAAGGGGAATAAGTACTCGGACAAGAGACATCTGAAGTGCACCCACTGTGGAGGAGAAAGGCATGTGAAAGAGACTTGTTGGGTTCTCTATCCACATCTGAAACCAGCTGCTTTGAAGAAAGATGAGAAGAATCAGAAGGGTCAAGCTGCAAGTGGGAATCTGGTTGCCAGTCACAGTAGTGATGGCTCAAAACACTCATCCACAGTTACTTCCTCTTCCACGGGACAGATTGCTAATTCCTCCGGACACGGGTCCTTGGGTTTCATTGTCGATGAGGTAGAGGTACTTAGCCGGACACTAGCCCGTCTAAGGACCAATTCTCTTGCTTCCACCTCCCTTGCCAGATCAGGTACTGCCTCTGCTTTTAGTGCAACTAGTTCTATTGACCCTGCTTCTTGGATTATTGATTCCGGTGCAACTGACCACATGACACATATGTCTTATCTATTTTCATTCTATCATTTACTGTCTGGCCAAGATAAGATGAGGGTTGCTGATGGTTCCCTCTCTACCATCTCTGGGAAAGGGGTGGTTGACCTAAGCAAAGACCTCTCACTCAAATCTGTACTGCATGTTCCCAATCTTTCTTCAAATCTCTTATCTGTTTCAAAGCTTACCAAGAATTTGAATTGTAGCATAACTTTTTTTCCTACTCATTGTGTCTTTCAGGACAGGTTGACGAAGAGAACGATTGGGAGCGGTCATGAGTGTGGAGGCCTCTACTACCTTGATGCAGACATCAGTTCGGCCTTACAAACATCTGCTACTAGTAGTCAGTCCAATGTGGAGTCAATAGCTAGGTTACATCTGTGGCATGCTAGGCTAGGTTATTTACCTTTTTCATCATTAGAAGTGTTGTTTCTGGAATTATTCAAAGGAGTTCTTGGCTGCTGAATTTGAGATCAAAGACCTGGGTCAGCTGAGATACTTCCTTGGGATTGAAGTTGCTAGATCAAAAGAGGGCATCTACATATGTCAGCGGAAATATGTCCTTGATCTTCTACAAGAGACAGGCATGATGGGGTGTAGGCCAGCAGATACTCCAATAGAACAGAACCATGGATTACAGGAATCAGTAGGAGAGGACTACCTTGATAAGGAAAGATACCAAAAGCTGGTGGGGAAGTTGATCTATCTGTCCCTCACTCGAACTGACATTGCTTATGCTGTACATGTTGTCAGTCAGTTCATGCACACTTCTAAAATCCCTCACATGAAAGTTGTGGAAAGGATTCTCAGATATTTGAAGTCTTGCCCGGGGAAAGGGATTTTGTTCAGAAAACACAATAAGATTGAAGTTGAAGCATATACTGATGTAGATTGGGCTGGCTCTGTTGGGGACAGGAAGTCCACTTCCGGGTACTGCACCTTTGTTGGAGGAAATCTAGTTACATGGAGGAGTAAAAAACAAAATGTGGTTGCTAGATCAAGTGCCGAGGCTGAATATCGAGCTATGGCTCATGGTGTTGCTGAACTTCTGTGGCTTAAGATCCTTCTTGGTGAACTTGGAATAAAGATCGAGTGCCCTCT